GTATATATGTAGTATGTATTAACTATTATTCTTCTTTCTTTCTTTCTTTTCTTTTCATTCTCCTGGGATAGATTATTGTAATCAATGCAGTTCATACAAACTATACGCCATGAGAGTTTGAGTTTCAATACGGAGTACATACATACTAGAGACCATCGTACCGAGGGATTTTCAGGATTTTCAGGATGGATCATGCCGATACGTATCTTGATAACCGAGCCGTGTATAGGCAGGTACATTATATATTGTACCTAGGTATTCCAAGGTTATGTATTACATATTATAGATAGAATGTTTGAAAAAATACAAGGTTCACCAGTTCCCTCCCAACTAAACATCAAACAAAGCTAGCCAAGCTGTCAGACGGAAAAAGAAAGGAAGGGAAGTTCGGCGGGAAGGGTAGGGAGGGCGCGGAGAAGTGATACAGTGTGAAGAGATTTAATAGTTTGTTTCAACTTTCAGCGGCGAAACAGTGATGGAGATGGGGATGGAGATGGAGAGACAGGCGGCTGGTAGGTGTGTCTAGATCGCTTAGGAGGCTCGGAGAGGAGGGAATGAGGATGTGAGGTATTCTCGAACTGGTGAGTGATGATTTGGATTGAGCAGCTTGTACACGGAGTACACACATCCTTTGTCTGAACTTTTGATTCAATTCTCGATTTTACTTTATTTTATTTTATTTTATTTTTGCGCGCAGCTCGATGTTTCTATGGGCCGGTGAGGTTTGGTATGTATGATCATTTTCTGTCTTATGTCTATGATAGATACCAACCGACCTACCTATCTATTGCCCGATCGATGAGTTTATTTCCATAGAGTGATGATCGCTGTGTTTACCTACCTAGCAGGTAGGCTCTACGGAGTAGACTAAGTGTGCGTTCGGATCACTTTTTTGAAATTATCAAAGCTCAATTATTATAAAAGGAATGGGAAATGTGTGGATGCATATGTACATGCATATTCAATATGCATATCTGCATATCTGCATAATGATGACGATGATGAATGAATGAATGGGAATGAAGGGTGTGGTTATTGAAATGGAGTGTGGGATTTAGTCACACCATCACCAAACTCTCTAGCTCGAGAAGGCAAATGGAATTTTCTCTGATGCTTCTTGTTCCATCACATTATATTATCATTTATCATTATCATTACATGGTGTTACGGGTAGGGAAGTAGGTGTAACATACCATCCACCTCGAGAAAAGAAACGAACATTCTACCAGGTCTTCCACGCCATCTTCCCATCAAAATCTCATCACAAACCATCCCACCCACACCCTTCTGCACACATCCCTTCACGTTCCAGTGAAAGAAAATTTTCTCCAAAAAGGAAAGCTTCTAGAAGAGCGCCACGCGTATTCCTTCATTTATTCCATCGTGCTGTCAGCCTTCTAGCGTATTACTTTATTGGGTTTAATTTACCACATCCCTGTCTGGTTCGTTACTCGGTCGGTGTCACAGTGATCATTCGATTGGAGAAATCCCGAGTGGCGATGTGTGCTTGGGCTGGCTGGGCTGGGTTAGAGACTTGGAGTGGACCGGGTCGTGGGACTCGTGGGAAGGAAGAACAGAAGGGAAGGATGAGAGGGAAGAATAGGGTTTCGGGGTCGCCGGCTGAGAGTGTGTACGAGGTGGGGGTTTGGGTTGGTCTATGCTATAGAGAGCAGATGGACTTGGACCGACGGCCTTACGGGGTTTGGGGATGTCTTGATTTCCGTTCTGGTGCTTGCTGACTTTGACTTGTTGATGCTGAATGAAAAAATGATTGACGTGACTCTTTTAGGTTGATTAGAGTTTGCTTGGAATGGAATGGTTAAAGAGGGCTGAGAAATTGGCTCCATATCGGCGTGAATGCCGAATGGAAGGTTAGGGTAAAGGAAGATAATTGGGCGCTTACGATGGATGGCATCTATCAATTTTACCTCGACCTACGGAGGATACGCCCTCCATACAATTTTCCATGCGACCCGCTCACTCCCAAGCCTGCAGGAGGACTAACCGACCTAAATCCAGACCGCTCAAAATAACAAACTCTGTACAACCTTCTCATCACGATGCTTGGCTCACAACGGAGAGAAAACAATACACAATACCAAATGCAAGACAGACCGATAAATGACATCGCGATACCCAATTGGTATTCTTCAACGCCCGTCTTTGTTTTTGGTTTTCAAGTGCGTATTCGTACATATGTATCATCCTCTAGATGCATAATGGATTCGTGCATACTAAGAGATGTATGGGTGTATTCACTTACACCTACCAGAAACGAGCAACACGTGTTTTTTGGTACCTGACTGGCAGCTAACTAGATAATTTTCCGCTGCAGAAATAATTGTGCGTGTGGTATGCGAAGATTTCAGGTACGCTTCACGGGTACAGATTGGGATTGAAATGTGTCATGATTTTCAGGTTCGGTGTCTAGGGAAGTACCTAAATAAGCTGCTTCATCTCACTTCGATGGTTGGTAAGGCGATCTTCGGTTTGCAGTTCGGGCGGGAGGTTGGATTCGAGGGGTTTGTGATGGGAATGTATATATCGTTCGACTTTGGGTGCTATAGTAGTGGCCAGATAGTTGATTCGGGGGGCTTCGAGTGAAGACCGATCAAAACCGCATTTCCTGATGAGGTGCGCGAGGCGGTGGGAAGAAGGTTTTCCCCTTTTTGATGCATCGATTGATGGTTTTGAGAAGAGGGGTAGGGTAGGGTAGAGTACCTAGTAGATCATGATGAGTTTCATGACATGTGATAGTTATCACATGAGTTGGTACTTCTCACATTACATTCTCGTTGTCTCAGTAACTTAAGTTACATATGCACATACCTACTAGGTGTAGTTCCTCTGTGCTTATTCATTCATCTCCGATAGATATGGATTTTTCCTCGGCCCTAAAGACAAATGCCGTGCTCGGCCTTTATAGTTTCGGGCCTAGAAATTCGGACTAAATAAACACCTATGAGTAGTACTCAATTACATTCTCACCTCATCCTCATCTTCATAATCATCACCATCGGCAGTACCAAACCCCTTATCCCCGAATCAATTCTCCGAGTTAATTTTCCGTTCCTGTCTATCGATCTCATCTCATCTCATCTCATCTCATCTAATTTTATGCATTTATGTTTTCTATATTTCACGTCGCAGTTGATTATTTATCTCCAACCCGCATATATATATACATAAAAATCACATGCCATAGTTCCCTTACATCGCATCCGTCCGATTGGTTTATTTCCATCCCCGCGTCATAATTGGTTGAGTATAAAACGGCGATGGATAATTTTCCCCGCCTCATCCTACATGCGATTCCTTGATTCGCGGAGGAGTGGAATGCATACATGTATTCCTTCTCGCGAGGATGTTTGAGTTTACTTACTCCACTGTCATTGTAACTGTAATTGTGAATATATTCCTCTCTCTTACATATTTGTATCATTTTTAATTATGCTTCAATTCATAATGTGGATAAGAACCAATGATCCCGGAAAATACTTCATGCAGGTAAGTAGGTAGGCTAACCCAATATATCTAATTCTAAAGAAAAGATTGGAGTCTTCATTCAACTTTCAATTTTTTCAATTTTTCTCGAATCGTATCGTATCGTCACCGCAATAGACCCAGCTCTACTTACTACTTATATATCCATAAAAATTCCCAATAACAGACCAATAGAATCTAATTGGTAGACGGGTAATTTAGGGGTCCAATCTAGGGGTTGGTGACCATGCATATATGCATGCAGGTAATAGTTAAGAGAGAAAGACCCTTCTTACTTATGAAGGATGTTTGTATGCGCGATCGGAGGTATTGATAGGGATGAGGGAGATCGGGGAGGGATTGGGGGTAAGGGGTCGATGTGGGGGGGTAGGGACCTGAGTTGAAGTGAGTTGAGTTGAGATGAGATCGTATGATTTCATTATTCATGTGCTGGGTTCTATGATTCTGTGAAGTTTCTGGAAGGTTGGTTGGGTGGATAGATGATGGATGGATGGGGTTTCTGGTGGGGATTGGGGAGGTTTAGGGGGGGGGGTTGGTTGGGTCAATGGGTGGGTGGAGGAGTGGCAACGAGGAGGGACAAGAGAAAGAGGCGAAGGAGAAGAGAATGAGATTTTGTTGATGAGATGGGATGAGATGGGATGTGATGAATTTTCCTGGGATGAAATGGGATATGTTGATATGTGGATATATGATCGACGCTTTTAGCCGCGCGCGGAATAAGGAGCGGCTTGCTTGCTTGCTTCTAGAAGGTTGAGAGTGGGGTAACGAGGGTGATTTTTATGGTTAGGTGACGTTACCTAGGTATTCCTTTTTGTTGGGGGACTGACGTATTCTAGTCGGTGGTTGATAGATTTGAGTTTGAACTTGGTCTTGGTCTTGGTAAATGTTTGTTTGAAAAAGGGGGAGTCACTTATCTTTTCTTGATTTTTTATTTTTTTATTGATTTTTTGGACGAGATTGGTATCTCTACTAGGTAGGTATGTTTTATTAGATGTTTCTTCTTCTTCGGGTAGATGTAGTGTATTCCTTTCGCTTTATGTTATAATGTGGTTTGTTGAATAAAATCTTCACTATTTATATGTAGTAGGATCTGGATTCTTGATACTGGATGGATAGATGATAGATGAATGTGTGATGGCTTTATATTACCATCTTTTGGATGATAGGTTGGGTATCTAGATAGATAAGTGCAGGTATCTAGAAATTCTATGGCACCTAGTTGCTTCTCATTTGTTGCTGGGAGAAATAATTAGCTTGTAATGGGTTTATGGTTTTCTATTTGTTATTGCATTTTCTCTCCAGGATACCTTAGTAGGTGTTTTCAAAATTCATACTTTTTGGGCAGGAGCGGAGGGGGAGGGGGGGATTGATTTGCGATTATTTCTATTAGAACACGTGGAGTTTCATTACACTGTCTTGTGTTATCAGCAACCTCATCATCAAACTCCATTATACCATCTCACATCAAACACTAATCGAACTTCCAGCCAGCTGCCATGGCAGAAAATCAAAACGAAGATGCTTCGCCCGAGTGGATGGATTTAGATAGTTTGTTAGCTCGTCAACTATGTAGGTACATTTCTTGAGATTCTACTCTTCCTGCTGGATTATATTAAGGTCATTTGTGGTTTGTTTCCAAGATGGATTAAGGGAAAGAAAGGAAAAGGAGAGGAAACGCGTGCGAATCGATATAGATGTATAATATATCATCCATCACACTTTCTTCCACATCTCTAACATCATGTTTACTCCGTAGTTGCACCCGATTTATCACAGGACTACAACCTCTCTCTTTTTTTCTCCCCGCCAAACCTTCCGACAAACCACACCTCTCCCGCGCAACATTCCTTCATCCCCATCCCTCGAATCAATCCCCCATTTATATACCGACGCCAGAAACCCCCAATCCTCAAAAGAACACTCACTACACAGAATAATCCGATGCTCCCGCGACCATCAACTCGCCGATCCTACAGCACTGAGAATCCCGTAGCTCCTGCATTGTTTTACCCAGCAGCTTCTCAGGAGAATGCTTCCGAGGGGGATATTTTGCAATTATCCCCGATGATGCAGTATCTACATCGAGATCGTCTCGATGAGTTTGAGAAGATTGTAAATGCGATAGAAGAGGTAGATGTGAGGAGGAGATTTGTGCAGATGGGAAATCATCCGCAGAGGGGAATTGAGTTTCGGGAGTTTGTGGTGAGGGGTTTGGGGGTGGGGAGGGAAGGGGTGGAGGTTAGGAGGTTTGGGTTTGAGGAGGGGGTTTGGAGGGTTTGGAGGGTTGATTTTTGGATGGGGGAGAAGGGGGATGGTATTGGAGGAGTTGAGTAGGTGGTGTTTGGTGTGAGTGGCTTTGATGGGGATTGGTTAGAGGTTGAGTCTGGACTTTGGAGGGGAGATGGTGAAGTTGGCGTGGATGTGAGAAATTGCTGATGTGATGGCTTTGAATTGGTAGTTCTGGAGGATTCAAGTCTTCAAGATTGTGTTTTTTTTTATCTTGGAAAAATTCTGTGTTTTCCAATCTTGTTTCGTTTGTTGAGATTTCCTTTCCTTGAGATAATTCTTTCAATAGGATCTCTTAGTTCATCAGACCTTCTAGAACCTCGGCATTTTGATCCGTCTGAAAGATATTCAGCAGGTCGATTTCTTGATTTCTCAATAGCTTTACTCGGGCATCGCAGAATGAGCTACCCCGTCAAAAGATCTTCGGCTAAGCTACCATATCGAAGTTAGCGATCTTATTGTGAATAGGTACTTACGGTGATATCCTTCTTCTGGATCCCATACAATAGTACAGCAATAAGACTTGAGTTTGCAGTATTAATTTAGCATTGTTTTACTAATCTCTCACTTCAAAGTCTTTAAATATCTCTCTACAATCCTTCTGGGTATCGAACTCTAAGAAAACACTACTTAGTTCATTCCAGCCGCATCCAACGAGATCCGGTCTAATATTCCACTACATAAAAATTTGCGCATATTAATAATATACATCCAAAGCATTTCACAATGCAGAACAATACGCATGGTTGGCCCCTTAGCGCTCATCCAAATCTTAACACTATACACCCCCGATATCAAAACGAGCAAGTGCGTCCATCTCCCCCGAGAACTAGACCATCACCATCCCGATCCTCATCCTCATCCTCCTCCATCTCACCATCCAGATCTCAACCTCCTTCACCTAGGAGAGCACGATCCTCTACTCCCTCTTCCCCAACTCTCCTCACCACCCGCCAACAAGACGAAGAATACTTCCTCTACCAGGAAACCCACAATAAAATCCTCTCTCAGATCAACGAGCGCGCAAGTGGTGTACCAAGTCCGGATAGTAATAATATTGGAGTCGCCACGGGAGAAGAGTCAACGAGACAATATCTCATTTTGAAAACAATTGATACGTGCTCCTCGCAGGAAGTCAAGGAAATTGGAATCTTCCTGAGTCGGAATCGCTTGGTGAGATTGTGGTTGCAGAATTTGCTGGATGATGCGGAGGAGGTGAGGAGGAGAGAGGGGAAGGTGGTGGTGTATAGGTGGAGGGATGTGGTGGAGGAGTTGGTGGTAGGGAATAAGATTGTCAGGGGGTTGTTGACGGGGTTGTTGTTGCAGAAGATGGAGGATGAGAGATGGGAGGTCAGGAGGTTTTTGGATGGGGGTGTGGTGAAGCGTGTGGAGGAGTTGGGTGGTGAGATGAGGGGATGAGGGGAGAGGTTCTGATTGAGAGAGGGTTTAGGAGAGGGGAGGATTGACGAATGGTCATTATGACGATAGATAGTTTTGTGCTGCGGTACTCAAGAATAACTAATCGACAAGTAGATTAGATGCCCGGATTGAGAAACTCATCTAACCGAACTATAAGTTGATAGCTTTTTGCTCTTTGATATGTTGTGACCTCGATGTGATATGAGGAGATATCTTGAAGGTGAGTATCAAAGATGAAGTTTGTTCCAATTCGGTCAAGCGCGCTGCTAGCCATCGAGCTCAACAGGAATGGCTGTCGAATTTTCTAAACCTTTTCAATTTTATATTTCATAACAACTTCGTATAAGACAGCGCCAAATTGGTATATATTTTCAGAATGTTGAGTTGATGGTATTTACTAACAGTCAACCACAGTTTCCTCTACCATCACAACAAGAACCACCATGACAAGTCTATCTGGAAATGGCGCTGAACCCAAGTCTAGCTCATCATCTAATAGCCTCATTGCTAGTCGCGATGATCTTAATCTTGGTCAGTATTATCCCTTGAGATTGTAATTAAAACAACTGCTGAATCATTTAATAGCCGGTCAATCTCGATATAAGCTTGGTAGAAACGTTGCAAGACTTATTAAGGATAACAAACTCGACATGGACGATATTCAAAACGGTCTCAATGAAATTCAAGAGAGAGAAAGAATGGCACGAGAAGCTTTGCTCCAAGCTGTTAGCTGCCTTCCAGCTTATGAAGCCGAACGAATTGTCATAGAAAAACTTGAGAAGAATCTCTTCTTTAGGGGATGGCTTGCGACAATGACATGGAATAAAATTGAATATGAGCCGGATCAAAACATGCCATTTGTCAACTCTCCAGCTCATAATCAAAAACTGGACTGTTAAAGATAGTCTCCTGGAGGAATCCTTGAAGAGAAAGTTGTTGGTTGAACAGAAAGATGGTACTTTCACGATTCGCAACTTTGGCCAGGATTCTCTCAACAATGTCTAAGTCTGAACAAGACCTTGCATCTGCTCTGCCAGACTGATACAAATTCTTGATTTGCGGAAGGTTTCTGGTGATGACTAGAAAGGCACATCACAAAGGTAGTGCTGGCAGTTATAAAAAGGATGCAGTACAATTGACTACATGCCAAAAAAAATCTACATCTATGTCCTCTGCACACCATAAAATGTTAAATACAGTGTTAAAATTATTAGTGACAAGATGAAAGTGAATATCAACTGTAATAATTGCTAACAAAGTCCAAGCTGCCAAATACACGAATCTATTATTCTACCTATTTAAAGGTTGAAAATTATTTCTCGCTTTTCCTTCTTATCCTCCACAACTTCAACCACAGATCATACAACACAGATTGAGCCTTTAGATCGCCTCTACAGAATATCTAGGTCTACAACAAGAAGTCTTTTTTGGTGCAATATCAACTTTTTTAAACTTTTATCGTCAAGCTACAAAGTCTGTTGTACAAAATGGCGCGTACTGCCGCCGGACGGGAGGTAATCACTTCTGGTATGTGGATCCCCTCAAGCACGAGTAAAAATACTAACAACAAACTAGCCATGAAACTCCAAATCTATGAGCTTGAATACGTCATCGCTCGTCTGATCGCCACGAGAGACCTCGACATTACCACCATCCAACAAAAAGCCGAAACCATGCAAGCAGAAATCGAAGCACGACAAGAGGAGAGAGAAACCACCATGAGAGGAATTGTCACGGCACTGCGGATTCTTCCAGGACATATCTTTCGACAGCTGTTTGTAATTGTTCTTCAAAGTCATCCGGTGAACCGGCAATTGCTTGTGGAGAGATGGGAGGAACATTTCGATGATTTAGATACGGGGTTTGAGGGGGATCCGTTTTTCGGTGATTCGCTTGCTTTGTTTGCCTATATGAATGCGAAATCTTCGTTAACTCTCCGATTGATCGTTTCTTTTATGGCGGGTAATGATGGTTCGCTTCGTGAATATATGGGGAGGGCGCTGTTGATCAGGAAAGAGGATGGAAGTCTTGAGCCCAGAGTTTTTGACCCGTTTGAGAGAGAACGGTCTCCTGAGATTGAGTTGGCGCCAAGAATATCAAGAATAGATAGGATACTTCTGACGGAACCTTCTGGTGAGCAGGTTGTGGATAACGAACAGTCTATGCGAGATACTTCGAGTGATTGGGATATTGAGGAGAAGATATTCTTTCGAGACGATTCTGAAGACTCTTATATCAGTGATACGACGCTTTTGCAAAGAAATGCTACCCCGGATTTCAACGAGGATTCGGAGCTCGGTGATGCGGCTTTTTTGAGGAATACTTTTCCGGACTTCTCTGAGGATTCGAAGCTCAATGATGGGACTTCTCCGAGAGATACTTCAAGCGATGGGGATACCGAGGAGACAATGTCTGTGCGAGACTATTTCGATGACTCGGATGTCAGTGATACAACAGCTTTGCAAGAAGAAACTTTCTCAGACTTTGTTGACGATTCGGAGCTCAGTGATGAGTCTTCTTTGAGTTGAGGAATACTCCTTTGTGTGATCCTTTTGAAGCGATGGATATCAGTGGCTGGACGGATGGGCAGGAGCTATCTTTCGAGCTTATTAGGACTCGGAGCTCAGTGAGGTTTAGAGCATATTTGTGGGAGCATTTTGATGATCATCATGGGAGCAGATATCTGAGCTCAAGATAGAGAACACTAGCATTAGCAGCATAGAGAGGCTAACATTAATTGCAGATTTCACATCATGATTCTCGTACATTGTGTATTTCTGATTATCACGTCAAAATTTTATGTGTAAAGGTGTTTGCAAGAGTAAAGTGAACATCGAGAGGAAACATTACTTGAACGCGGCTCGTTCCGTTAGATAGAAGACTTCAAGTTGCAACTGAATTCCACCGAAAGACTTATTGATACATAGAAATTCCTATCCCACCTAGATAGAATTTATATTAGAGTGTGTACGAGAGGCTTCTCCGACTTTACGAAAGAAAATGACGCTATGAGAAACATGGCGAGCAGGTTGAGAGCAAATCAATAGCAAGACACCTAATTTTGCATTAAATATCTGCCTCATAGACCTTTGAGGTATTGAAATATCCTCTTCAAATTGTAAGCCTAGCTTTTCCAGTGGTAGCGCAGAAGTTAGGTTGTAAGTTGTCTCCCATTAAGCAGATTGAACCTTTTTTGATACTTATCAAAACTGCAAAAGAACTCCTATTATGATCCATTGACCATTCTTCCACAGCTATTGAAGCAACCCACCTCATTCACCTCGATCCCTAATCATTCACTCTCCACCTTATTCCCCAAAATACATACTCGTCCCATCTGCTGTCGTCCTATCTCACCATCTCTATCCACTTTCGCGCCCCACTTTCAGTTCACCTCCATCCACAAAAACGAAAATAACCTCTTCCTCCTGATAAAAATAATAACTCTCTATAGTTCAAAAGTAAAATAGCAAAATCTCAGCTTAAAGGTCTAAAGGCCTCCAGCTGTTCTCCCAATGTGTTCCACTATCAACGTGGACCATTGTAACCATTACATCATTCCAATATTAAGCAATATTCAATACCACTCCGCCAAAGGTGATGTTTTGGATGTGAGAGGGAGCGATTTTAGATTCATATCTTACAGACTGACGGTTAGCTGGTAGGTGGGGGAAAGGTAGCTGGAATGAAATAACTCTAGTGTGAGCACGAGATGGACGATTTGCTGTTTTCAAAATTACAGAGTCAACTTTGCAGGGATGGGAAAGTGATTTGGGCGCATTAAGGAGAAAAATCCGGTGAAACTGGTCATTCTCACATATATCAGATTTCTCTATATGTATGATTTAACTATCGATCCGCTAGTGAAGGGTGAAAACAGAACAAAGAAACTATGACTACGATGCACCGAGAGGCACTAATCCACGATAATATCTTCACGGATCGAAAAAATACACGGGGATAAATAGGATAAGAAATCAGTGTGATTGGTATGTTCCTAGATTTAAACAAACTTAGGCAAATGGAAAAAGTATATTTAGGGATTGATTCCTCTTACTTTCGATTCCCTGGAAAGTTGGAAAGAGAATCCTCTCTTTACTTGTTGTGAATAACTTCAGTTCTACCAATTTGGGGTTGTTTTTATTGCGATGACTTTAGCTTGGTCTAAGACTTCATTCGATACAGTGCTAACCTTGGAATTCATTGATTATTAAACCACCTATAGCCCCATTTCACACCACCCAGCCGGACTCCGAAATATACTCTATTTTCATGATCACCGCTGTCGATAAAGAAACCCTGTCTGTTCACCTGAATTCTCAATCACCTCATCTCACCACAATCTCCCCCATCACACCAACCTTTCACCTCCCTCAAGCCCATCAATCCGAACTTTGATTTTCTCACTCAAAGAGATCTCCCTTACGGCCGCATCTACGTAATCCCTTCTAATTCTTATCTCCAATCTCGTCTCCAACAAAGAACTATCTCCTTCCCCTGATTCCGAACTTCCAGATCCATCGCACACGCACGCATCACGCTGTATGTCCGACTCCGAATTTCCCGTCTGACGTCCTCGCCTGATATAAACGTGAAAAACGTACAAAGAATTCGCAGGGGCTTGCTGCTTTACCACCTTGAAAACAATGCCCAGGAACGTTCGGGAATAAGAGAACAAAGAAATTTTAAATACTTGCTGCTTTACCAGGAAGTTCAAAACGACCAAGTTGAGTTAATTGATGACGGAAGAACGGATAGAGTGGTGAAAGAGCTGCGGTTAGCTGGTCGCGGAATTAGGTGATGGAGTCCGAGGTACCGAGGGAAGAAAGGAACTAATGAGGTAGAAAGAAATGACCACCTAGACGTGCAGGATAGAGACGAGGAAGGAACAAAGAAATAAGCGAGGAACAAAGGGTGTGGAGTACAATTTGATCTTTCGGGAAAGATTCCGAGCTCGTGAACAGATTTGCTTGAGATTAGAACAATGGAATGGTGTATGCGTGAAGGGAGATGAGAACAGATAAAGGCCGGGGTAGCCGATCTTGGTTTGTTCAAGCGATATTGTGAATGGGATAAGTACGGAAATTGAAGATAGACCGAAACTTAGGTTATGAAGAAATGGAACGAATGAGTTGGATGAAATTACAGCTAAAAATTGACTATTAAACTAATAATATGCATTGTAAATGACGCAATACAAGAAATTAGATCATTTCGCGGGAAGCAATAAGAATGAGAGAACATTTAATAGAAGACAGATAATAAACAAGATAGCCACCATATTTGTTAATAGATAGAAAGAACTTGTACGATGGAGAAAGGGATGGAAGAAATGATTCTAAACTTGGATGCATTCCGAAACCTGTGGAAACCGATAGAAAACAGTAGTGATAAAATTTTATGATCAGAATCTGAAAGCTTTGTAAATATCGCAGTAGAAGAGGAGGATGAGAAGAGTGATTTCCATAACCATGATGACTACCTGCAATGTGTCATCAGAGGGAAAGTGAGAAGGAAGTAACTTACACTTTGAAACGACTTACTTGGTACTATATTGAGCCCCAAGTAAGAAATACCCACAAATACGGACCATTATGGGTAAAAGCTCTAGTGATAGCAGCATCTATCATTCACGCCCTATCATGTCGTAATTTACATAACACCATCATAAGACCTGACCGCAAACGTCCAAATGTTGCACGTCTCAAAAGGCCTGCGACCTCTTCAAGAGATTAAAGCCCCATTCAATAAGCAGCAGTCAAAGACTACAATTATTCAGTCTGAGACTTATCGAAAAGTGGGATATATAATGTCAAGTGATGTAAAAATGGCAGTGGCTGCATAGTCGGCCGGTAGGTCTCGATAACGGTTGGAAGGCTTATACTAATTGCACGGACTTCCGTGCAAAAAGTCTGTAGCTCTAAGCTTGTAAACTTATGAGGTATCTACTAAAGTTCACCTTAAAAGGGAAAAATCAAATTGTATCTCTATGAAACAAATTTAGTAAGAGCGATAATGTGGTTTGGTGCTTTGAACGAAATACGAGAGGTTTGAAGAGATCAATTAGACGCACATGGTTTTCATAGCGATCAACTTTATCCAGAAATCATATTTCTAAATGAATCAGCAGATACAGAAAGACTGATTCTTTTCCATAGACTCAATGTTGCACATCTGAAAAGGCCAGCGACCTTCTAATCCCTAGTTCATGGCTCCCTACCAAGGATCCATCAACATCACTGCCCATCATTGCCCAAATTAAAGACACATGAGATGTAAAAGATTTGATTTTAAAAATGGAACTGGTCGCATTTAAGGCTTCAGCTTTAATCCCACTTACGGTCTCCGAACGGGCCGTGTAATCAAACAATTAAAAACTACGGGTTCACGATGAACCGAAAATTCGCAGATCCCATTCGCGGCGCTTACATCGCGCTCACATCCGAGCTCGTCACACTTTTTGTGCCTACCAAGCGCGATGGCAGGTGTTGCTTCATTAAAAGTCGGGTTTAAATTGGTAGTGATTGAAGAAATTAAATATTTTTAGATTCTTGTGATGTAGGATTTAATACCCAGTTGAGTGGGTGGGAGTTGCCGCCACAGCCACCAAAAAAGGTTATTTCAACGGCCTTCTTGGCAACTGTAATTCAAACATATTGATTTTATTGAGGAGCAGAGTAATTGTACGAATAAACAAATGAGAGACGGTCGGTGACCTTTTAAGATATGTAACAATCCCATATGACACTTGGTCTAGCTTGGGTAGCTAAGGAAAGAGAAATTTTTGTTGCATGTCGTAGCGTGGTCATTGTCCGGCCAAAGGAAATATGGGTAATCTTACATTAGAGTATAATGCTAACGTAGCGAGTGGAGTGCAGTAGAGATGTGGCAGGCTAGTCAAGGTCGGTGGCCTTTTGAGATATGCAACTTTTCATTTTTCTATTAATCACTTGAGTCGTTGATGAAGCCATCAATACACCAAGTACCCGATATACACCATGATCTGATTTTTGATTTATGATTATTGACATGACACCGTTGCATTCGATGGATACAATCACTGAATATCAATTGAATAACATAAAACTAACCTTTCAAAACAAAACATTTCCAGGGTATATTTCTAAATGCAAGAAAAGATAAAGGGATGCACATCTTGATCGTGTCGCCGTAACTCAATACGCCACTGATACATCGAGAATGATTTATACTTCAGTATGATTAGCCAGCTACACGCATACCATTTTTGGCCTCTCTACACACACGTGGCTCGATACTTAGAAAGCGGCTGCTCCGAGTGTTGCACATTTCAAAAGGCCACGGACCTTTTCAATCCCAATTATCTATACTCCGAATAGTTTCTGCTTCAGTCATAATGACAGATCAGCCCGACCTCAATTGCGGCCCTAAGCAAAATTAATCTGGTACCCAAATGTTTCGGTCACCTGAACGGCCTCGATTTCCTTTTACTGGCTTTCAGCTTACCAGAACTAGCAGGTCAGAGAAGGCTTGTAGCGACTCGCTCAAACCATTTTTACTAAGTATACCTCTGCATCCACAATTACAGATGCCCGGAGGGGCGAGAAAGTGATCTTCGAAGTCTCAGCGACACTTCAATGAAATCATTTGCGTACTGCAATTTGACCAGATATTTGGCCACTCAACGAAAGAATTCATCATAGCCACCAATAATCAAGGCTACTTGGACGAGGCTTGTGGTAGTGGGTAGATGCTTTGAAACGTGTAACAATAAACTCTCGTCGAGTCCCCTCTACTGTTCCCACTGAGCCTTGATGTTTTTTTAAACACATACGCAGGTTTGAAGATAATCATAAATAAGATTCCATCCAGCTCTTGATCGCGAGGATATTTTTGGAGACACTAATTTTTTATGTTCTTTGACTATTGTGTGCCCGATTGCTCGCCATTCCTGATCAATCTAATGAACAAAATTAAAATGCGTCGAAAGACACCAAACTCGGGAGATCTCTAAAATCTACTCGGGTATGTTACAAAACTCAGTCTTCTCTTCAAGAAGATTGAATGCACTAGTTGACCTAATGTCATCAAGACCACACAGTGGATGAGTACCAGCCTTGCTGTATTACGAAGAATACGCATGGAAGACAAAATAGAAGATTAGAACAATTAAAAATGAAGGAAAACAACCAAAGACTTCAGTGTAAGCAAGTATTAGCAGTGTAAAGGGTGTAATGACTTCTGCGCAAGGTGCGAGATTGAAGTCAAGAACGAGCTCACGACATGCGTGTGAAGTGCACACCAAGCGTGAACTTGAATAGAAGTCTAACAAAGCCTCTAACGCGAGCAGATTAACAGGTGCTCCAAGCAAGGAAAGAATGCGTTACCACCCCGGATGACTCAACATCCACTATTCAATAGTGATTCTCACCGAAGTAATACATGAACTTAATATAAGCTTAAACAAACAGCTCAATGCTAGATCCCATCACTCTAATTGAAATTCCAATTGAGCTCATTATACATGTGATCGGAAGAACATTAAACTTGTTTTGTGAACGAGTGAAGAGTTTCTCCTTCAAGCTATCACGTGCATAGCATCCTGAAATTGATAATTTGTAATATCAAGGTACTCTGAGTTTAAGATCGCCTTTCACATCTCGTTGGTTTCGTTTTTCGGCCAAAACACGGAGAAAAAAGTGCTTGCGACATGAGCTTCGAGATATAACACAAACCCACTTCGAAACTTCTGATAACCGCCGTTCGCGAGTGATCTTCATACCATTGGAACAGAATTCTGAGATTTCATTATTGAGATGGATTAGGAATTTGGGAGAGACCTTTTGTTTCCACTTATAGACCCTATTACGTATCAGCCTTTGACGACAAACGGGAAACTGATGGCAAATAGGAGCTTGCAAATGAGAGTAGGAAAGGCCGCAGACGTTTTTAAGATGTGCAACGATCCGTCTTTTTCCAAGAGTATTAGGAAGATATCCGGCGTGGCATTCTGGAGACCTCTTAAACACTTGTCATCGCGACTCCACGAAGAACTTTGCCCATAACTGCATGGCCCCACTACCCAAATCAAAATGAAGATTTCATGCCCAATCCCCTGAGATTTGCAACCAAATGTCAAAAATCTAAAGATGGGCGAGGACGATTTGCTTTTAGCTTTCAATATGCGTATGGTTTCGGCAACAACCGTAATTGAGACCTGATCACTTTAAGATGAAGTCCCTAAGTGGATCCCTCGGACGAGGACATTGATGCGAGGTCACCGGCCATTTGAGATGTGCAACAAGTTATATCCTCTTCTTTTAGGTTTGCTTCCTTTTCCGCGGAAGTATCATTTATATTGTCTCGGTGATTTAGTGCTCCAGTAGTAGCCCATTTTTTGAAAGTCAATGAGTAAGAAATTTGCAACTTCGTAGCTCGTAAGCGGAGCTCATTCAAGTGGAAATGTCTTCCCCTTTCTTCCAGGTCGCCGATGAGAGATGCAACAAAAACAGATTTTATTGAAAAGCGGTGGATAGTAATTTCCCCTGATTCTGACATGCGGTACTGCTTCGGTCTTGAACACACTCGCCTTTGTACCGGAGGGTCATACTTTCGAACGATGAAGCAAAGACCATCACGAACCTGGTATAGCTGGTGGAATAATCCAATCGCCGACTAAGAGACGCAACAAAATTTGCCATTTACTCAACTTCTGGACGTCCCTTTTCTATGACCAGAAGTATCATGACTCGTGGGGTTGACGGTGATGGTTGTGTGGAGTCGTAGATTGAACTTTGATTCTACCAAGTGGATACCCGGTGACCTTTATCATAGGCTATGTGATATTAATCTGAGGATGCGGGGGGATTTTCAGGTCGCCGACCTTTTCAGATCTGCAACAAAAGTCTGTCTTGACGGTCTGGCGGTATCATTCAGCTCACATCTCCTTAGCACCTGATCTCGGTACATCTGACTCAATCCCGTAAATTTCCCACAGAGATTACCCTTGTCGCCGACATCAATCCTGTGCAAGGAACAACCAGGTCGCCGACCTTTTCAGACGTGCAACAAATCCCATTCTTACCTTCAAGCAATCAACGTTTAACTTCTTCAAGATGAAAGATCCGTGAAGATGTTTCGGTCAATCGTAAATTTCGGCTGATCACCGAGATCGGTCTTGTACCTTTTGCGGACGTTTCTCCGGAGCGAAGGAGTGGTCGCCGACATGGCCAACACAAATTTGGGTACTATTGGATGAGATTTTTCGATGCCAAGTCTTTGTTTCTGTTTGCGTCTCGCCTTAAGGAATCAGCGTGGCTCTTCGGCGTTCTACGGGTAACACAGTAGGGAGTAAACGCTCTTCTGCAGCCTCCCGAAAGCGACAGGTATCCACTTTTCTTCGCCTGTGAAACCTTTTTTGAACTTATCAGCCACTTATCAGCCACTACACTCAAGCCACACTTGCACTCGCCCGGTGTTCTTCCCACCTGGGCAACTCCAGCTACCTCAGATCGCTCTGATACTTTTAAAGCTGCCCTCCTTTTTTCCATGAGCGGGCGCTCTCAATATTGCCACATCATCACGACCCAAATCACGACCATAACCCATAGCATCCCAATAATACCCAATGGTTAAATTGATGCGACCTTCAAAGCGGCCTTTTTTTTCTATAGCGTGATATCCTTGCCAAGTGGAGCTACAGGTGTCATGTCTTACATTTTTTCCCCCGAAGATGAGGTCGGCGGCCTTTGAGGATATGCAACATTCCCTTTCGATGGATATTGCTTAGGATGAGTAAGCTGGTATCCAACGAAGCGGTAGAGCGAGATTGTGCTCGGGAAGTAAGAGGGAATGATAGTAAGTCGATTAAGGGAGCTTTCCTGCGACCTTTGGAAATACCATGCTCACCGTCTTCTACCTTTGGACCTTCATTTACATTCGCTCCCATATCCTCATATTTTCCAATTGTGCTCGCTCATCAAATACCTTGTCAGTGCAAGGCGAGGGTCAAGGCCATCTGAGATGTGCAACAATATCCGGTTTTTCTTCTCCTCATCTGTTTTAATAGGTGCAACGGTTCTCAATAGTCTGATGAGGCCTCTAGTTCAAGATGGTTGCATTTGAGGCCCAGTGGAGAAATTCTTCTGGTACTCCAGGTTGATGCCCAATGGCAATCAGTACCTAGCGTAGTAACCATTCAAGATGATTCTTACTTGCATAATCTCTTCTGGTTCGCTCCATCCGAGAATATGGCTTGACCGAGGGCGACCCAAATGAGATGTGCAACAAATTCGACGTTTGCATCTCACAGACTTAGATATCGTATCATTTCCACAGATTATCCAGAGCTTGAGTGTTGGTGTATTGCTAGCGAGCGTTTCCATTAATCCGGTCCCGTTCTATCTATATATTTTAGAAGTCAGCAATCCGTGGCTTCTTGATTGAATATGCATGATCTTTCACCCTGAGACTATGAGCAGATAGGGAGGTGCCAAGTATAAGCACCTTACATATTATTTGCTTTTTAGACTAGCAAGCCACATCAGATAGAAGAGAAGGCACGCAACTCCTAGTGCAAGGCTATGTCAGAGAGATTTGAACATACATTACTGAGTCTTCGTTGTCGATAGAACGAAAGGCAATCTGGGTTTGAAACAAGTGAGTTATGTGCCACTAGCAGCCTTCCCGCTTATTGAATCAGGATCCTTATTTCACAAAATATATTGAAAAATCATGAAGTCAAATGCTTAACTCTATTCTGGCGTTATAACAAGCATCAACGCTCTAGTTTATAATAATTCACAACACCTCTATAACCCGAAGCCTCTACATATCCGTTGCTTGAATTAGCGAGAAAGGATAGCAAACCTAAACTAGCCCCTCTCTACTCCTGCCTCCCCGAAAGGCAACGGTGTCTTTCCTGCCAATCTGAACTCCAAGAGATTCCATGGTACATATATATCTTTCTAAGGTTTTTTATATTCCCCTTCTATTGTCCATTTGGATGCAGCAGTTTTTTCCGCCGCTGTTTGGCGGCACCACCGGTCGATGTTCCTTGGGTCCCAACACCATACTGGCTTACCCTCACGTGCACATTGGTTTTTTTTCATCAGCTATATCTTTCAAATGAGATTTCCACGTCCATCCAGAGTCCTCTGGCACGCAGATGAGCTTCACCATCGCGCCATTGTTCCAAGTTAGACCACCACCCGTTCTTGGCACGTCGGGCTCATTTTCTGAAATCCTTTCCACGGTACTCTTCATTGCCTCCATTGCTGGTTATTGTATGCTTAGTTTTCTTCTCTTCAGTCTTGCCACTCCTGCCCTGAGGAGCTTGCTGGTGGATCTTTCATTTTCATTACTCTTTGACGCCTCATCAGAAACATGACTGTCTCTATGCATTTTTATTATTACAAAGGTCGACAACGTTAATGTGAAGAAGATACTCCCCAGTGGAAGTAAATAGAGTTGTGATAGTTTGGAATGCTAAAATTTCAAACATTTGATTATTGTTGTATTGATGATCGTTTGTGAGAACGAGAAAAAGTATTATACCTAGAGTTACAGTGCGCTTTTATAGAGCCCCTGGAGTTTTGTGTCCTGTGTATTGGCAACAGAGCAGATATTTCGAGGCTGTTACATACACATCTGTATGTTCTACACGTTTGTGAGTATTACGACCGGGCTTCTAGTGTTAGCGAATCTAGCATATATATATATATTACAATCTGCGAAATGGGGCGACTTGCAATAAAACTCTTTCGGTACCTTAAACCATTGAGAAGGCTTCGGATTATGGTATGGCAATCAGTAGAGATCTAGTAGGTCGATCCATGGCTGAGTGTAGGGACCCTGGTGATGAAGCGGGTGAAGGAAGCATGCCATTTGATCATGCAGGCTGTTGGCTTTGTCAAGTAAAGCTATCACTTACTGTCTGATAGACACCTCGCCGCAACTCATCAAACAGCGAAGCCCCTAATTCCTTACATATTCAAAGGCGGCCAATGTGCTGTAATATTTGCGCAGCTTCCGTAGGATCAGACTCCAAACCAGAAAGGCCAGCTCTAAAGGCCCAAAGTTGTTGATAGGCGGGACTAATGATGACTGTGCTCGATGGCTCAAGTACACAGTTATCCACCGCAGTGATTTCCGATAAGATACTAGCAAGCCTCATGGTTTTGTGGCAAGTCATCGGCGTTAGTTGTCCTCCGATTATTCCTGACCTTTGTTCCGACTGAATTTGTCTTCGGAAACGGTGATACAAAGAACTACTCGAGGTTTACGGGTGTCGAGACATCCGTAATTTCTGCAGCATTGTCATTGGGCAAGCTAATGACCATAATAGAATGAGTGCCTTGGGCGTAAGAACGCCTAAAATAGGAGCTGAATATATTTTGATTCAGAGAATGAACCATAAATATCATTTGCTTGTGGAGTGATCAAGGCAAATATGGGTGACGCCGGCACGTCAATGGGTTGGTCATTGGTATCGAACTTTATAAATGGAACATAGACGGAGTTGCTTTCGCAGAAATCACAGATATGTTTCTACCAATATCTAAAAGGGAAGTCAAGAAATTCATGATTCATCTTATTGCTGAGAGGTTCATGAACAAGGTTTGCGGAAAAGCAGACCAGGGACAACACACCAGTGAAGAAAAATGGTTGTGGAAAGACAGATGCTTAGCTTCGAAAAGCCATTTGTAGCAAGACTCGAGCTTGAAGATCTCAGTCAATCTTAGCGCACAACCGCTAGATAACTTTGTTTCAGATTATTGATGGTCAACTATACATCGTCTTCGGTGTTTGTAGAATAGAGGCTGGAATGTGCAGGGTCGAAAATCAGTCTTTCAAAATCAAGGAATAAACCTGTGAAGTTATTAAATACGATGCCATTGCTCCGATATTAGAGAATTAGTTGTAGTGTGGTACAATCCCGGGATTCCACCAAAATCCAGACGATCTCATTGACATACAGAGACTCAAAGCAAAACAGAAATCGAGCTGGCGATATGCCACTGCAATATACAGACTTATCAAGCAGATCTTGATATGGAATATTGCGCTGAACCCTGGAAATATATCAAGGGTAAGTGCGAGACTTGACGTTCGGCTCCTATTGACACCGGTGCTCTACATAGCTTCCAAGGTTGGTGTAGAACAAACCATAGTGCTATCTTCAATCACGTGACATGGTCATTTAGCAGTTACATGCTAACTAGTAAAGCAAACACAGGCGTCGAGTGGAGTCGCTAATATGGTATCCAAATCATCATTAAACTGGCCCTATGTCTTTTCCCCCAGGGAATATATACATCGATACGTGAATATGCTAATGAGTACCTATCTAGACTTATGCTACTTTCTGCTACCGTAGAACAAGAATACGAGGAGCTTCTTCATGATCCCATTGATCTAGATACCCAATTACCTTTGAGAAATGCACAGCACTAGAGACATTCGGGAGAAGAACGAGGTCATGACTGATAATGGTCTAGATGTAGTGCGTATTAATGTAACGTTGAATGCAGTATAAACGTTAGAATAAGCAACATTCTTCAGATCTTCACAAACGGTACCTACCGAAAGCCAAGCAAATCAATTCAAGGATTAACCTTTAGTACTGATTAGTCATAAAAAGCAAGTTCTTCCATCTTATCAAATGTTCGGTTTGGCCCTCCAAAATTTATATCTTCGATACCAATAACTCAATTAAGAGCCTAGTATATATAAGATATTTCTGTCATATCTTCAGATGTCTTACTAAATCATGCGATATGTCTCAAGATTTATCTGCCGGCGTGGTAAATCATCCAGTAATGATTTCGGACGAACTTAGATCCAACCCTCACCATAATATTTCTGATCTAAATGCGACTACGGATACTAAAGAACCAGAAGCCACTACAGCTAAGATGAATTTGGAATCATCTACAACTCAAATGTTGGATAACGTACCCGTATCTGCACCAGATCCACAAGAGCTTAATGCTCCAGACAATCATTCGCAATCATGCCTTGGCCTAGTCGAAGAATCTGCCGTTGATAACGAGTCAAAGTTGATAATGGATGCGGCAACAACAGGAGGGGCAGTGGTTGCGGAAAATACCACCTCAGGTAGGACAACCGCTAATGTTTAATCTTTGCATCATGTGAATACATTGTGGAAAGTACATTCTAATCATACCTGCTTCCCAAATAGTCGTACCACCAATATCTACCGTACGACCACTCGAAAATATAAACCCCCCGACCGAAACCCAGCCCTCTACATCTGCGACCGCTGCCACAACCACAATATCTCCTAACACTGAACAGCATTGTCAATCATCAATAAACTCTATTATTACAGATCCACAGACTTCAAGCGCCAATCCTACTGCGGATCTCGCGAATACCCCGAATGAAGATATGAATGTCGTCAAAATCAAAGCAGCTCGTCGGAGAATGGCTCGTGTCAAGGCACATCCAAATGCCTTGACAGTCTATGAGGCCGAGCTGACAAGTAAGGACAGGGCGACTCAAAAAGAAGCAGTTCGACAATACTTGGAGAAGAATGTGAAGCAGGACTGGACTTGGACCTGGCCAGCCGAAGAAAACGAACCTATGAATATAATGGATGCATTACTTAAGGAGCCTTCTTTAGATGAACTCCAAGTCACCAGTGCGGATAGCCCTGCGTATAAGGAAGAGTGGCGAGAAAGAGACGAGTGGGAAAGTGATCCCACTGAGAGCGAGAGTGAAGATCCTACTTCGCCCAAAGGGCCCATCAACATTAATTCTCCGGATAGAGAAAGTCCTTTCCGTTTTGACAACCCGGATGGTGTAGGTCAATTGGTCAAACAAAGACGAGCTGCACGAAGACGCCGACACAAAAAGAAGCTTGCCGCGGAAATGGAGTGGAACACAGGGGTACACTGTTATGTAGAAAGACGTGATGCATGGACTTGCGCCCGACGTGTCCCTCCTCCATCCGGACGGGAGCTTCACGCCATCGAAAATTTACCAGTCCATTCAAATGGAAATGCCCCCAAACCTGTGGATGATTGCTCAGATTCAGAAGGATGGGATACTGAAGTGCCAATTGCTAAATCACTACTACCACCAGATAATGCAATGAGAGCGAGCATCACCCCTCAAGCCTACAGCACCATATACGACAAAGTTATTCTGCAATCACTGACACCTAGTTGTCCTATCAATCTATCCGATGTCATACAGAGCTGCGTACAAGGATGGAAACGGGATGGTGAATGGCCCCCTTCCTCGTCTGTCCCTGAACCTGGTCTCGCGGCGAAGAAAAAGCAAAGGAGATTGAGCATGTTGAGCATTTTGGGGCTAAATGGTCCCGAGGCAAAGGCAATTAGTCCTGTAGTAGAAAAAAGTCCACAGACGCCAGGCTCAATTAAAAAGGGGTTGCAAAAGTTCTGGAAACGCGGAGACAAAACCAAAGGTACGCCTGAAGGTGGGACGGGAGCTTAGAATTTTGGTACAGAAGAGCTACTGCATATGTTCTATCAAATGGGCTTTAAGGGAATGGCATGGCATAGCATAATGTGGCGTTTTTATGGGAGACACTTGAGGCGACATTCGGTATGAAGTTATGAAGGGCACATTGAATAAGCGGATTGAATCAGATTCAATCACTGTTGGATCAGGTAGTTGGACTAGCATGATTATTATGAGGTTATCTCGGGACTATTAATATGACTATCATTTTCCAGTATCTACTTTAGGAGCTCCAAGTCAGTATCTTAAGCTTCCTCATCTTCGCCCTCTCATCTTACTTGTGAACATCATCCCATATTCCAAGCCCAACGTAAAATAGACAACCTTTTCCAAATAACACATAAATATTCGAGCACAAATCACTTCATTCCCTGTGTAAAACCTAAGATCCCCTACTTCTGGTGCCTCTGTTTTGATATGACTCGCTGCTTCTACTTCCGCTACTCCTACTACTATTCTCATTCGCGCTCCGTTCAGTATTCGTATGCGGGTGAATTGGAGGCGATGTCTGGGATGTATAGGATGAGAGTCGTTGGGTCACTAAACTTTGTAGTGATATTCTCTTATAAGTATTTTGTTTGGGAGGAGTGTTGAGCGGCTGGATAGTTTTAAGTCTTGTGCTTTGAAGTCGGGGGTTCTGTAGGAAGATGTAAAACCATCAAGTCTTATACATAGGCAGTTAAAGGTGCGCAGAGTTCGGAGAAAGAGAGTTGCTGAAATTGAAAACGAGAATAAAGTTGTTGATGGGTTCATTTTCAAATAGTCGCATTTGAACGAATTCTTGATATGAGGATGGTTCTGTTCTGAAGGTTCGAGAGCTTTGGAAGTTCGATCCGTGAGCATCTTCTCTCTCTCCCCCCTTTATCTATTTCCTTTTTCCTTCTGGCTGGTCCGCTTCTGTTTGCTCTTCTCTTGACCATATGATTTCTATACCTTTTGAACCCCTCCCCCCCTGTCTTGCCCTTTTTCTTTCCTCTTTCAAATGAATTCCTCAATCTATGGCATCTCATAATTTGAATTAGAGAGACATTACATTTCTAATCGGAAATGTCGAGGAGAGTCGAGATCCTTCCAAGACATTGCCTTAAAATGTACTTCATCTCGAAATTATCCAAGTATGCCGTCATACCTCGGACGAAAGTAGGTTCAAAAGCACCTTCTATAAGCTCCCATAACTTAGGCTCGGGACTAGGTTGTGGAAGCAACACATTAGACATGAAAGGGCCTCGTTGCTCGTCTAACTGGTCGGACGCTTCAGCCCCCGGCATGAGTTGTAGACTCCAATACGCAAATCCGGGAGGTTCCATCACGCGGGAATGTAGAGTCTCGTGAACATCAGTCAATAGCTGGACGGCTCCGTTGTTTGTCCAGTCGTACCCCATTCCAGGACTTATCAGCGCGCGGGATTGTAGATTTTTCATCGTCTGCGCTAAATCCACGAATATCGTGTCTGCATTATCCCTCTGGTTGCACCGAGTGAATTTACTCAAATGATATTTTCTCGTGTAGAGTACTTTGAAGAAGTGCTCTAGAAACCCTAGATCGTTTATCACACTGATATACGCTTTCCATGCCACTTCCCTGGCCTCTCTGTCGATATGGAGGAGGGGAAACACGAGATCCTTCTTCTTGAGGGTAGTCAGGCGACGAAGGTGTGGGAGCTCGAACGTATTGGGCCAGTTGTGTGTATTTTCCTTCCTTACAATTCCACCTACTTCGTTATCGCTTAGAAAGATGCTTGTATCCTGAGCGTCATTGACATAGAAGATTTTTATTGCTTCTTCAGCGACATATTCCCAGATACTACGACGTACTTCGGAGGGTAGTCTCATGAAATTTCGGATGACTTCTTTCTGGTCGGGCTGGAGTTGAATCTGAGAAGGATGCTCGGCCATTGTATAACAAGTTTGGATTTGTTCAATAGACAGGGTTGATAGAAGAGGTTGATATGATTTCGAGGTAAAGTTGTAGAATAGAGATGAATATTGAGAACACCTGATGACGAATAGTGGTTATGATAGGTGATGATGATATATGAAGCTGGTTGAATTTTTCAAATTGACTGACAATTGATGGTAAAGTACATAGGTAAGGTAGTTTTGGTAGAGATTTGTATTAAAAGTAAATTGAAACGATATTCAAGGTGTCATCAATCATATTTAAGGGCGGGGTGGTTGAAGCTAGTATCTAGTAAGTTCCACCCAGTAGTGCACATCTGGCATCTTGGATTTCATCACTGATCGGCGCTGACAAGTTTTAGTCTCGAACTTGGGTTTGTATGGAAGGAAATACTTGCCGATGATTTAAATGTTAGGTAGGAACGGAAAGTCACGTCCTCGAGAACTTCACGGGAGCTTTGGGCAATTTCAAAAGATTGTCTTTATGTCAGAATTCTGGGCGGTTTCAAAAATCCAACAGATGGCTAATTGGACTTGACCAGCAGATTATCTACACCTATGTTTCCAATGTTTGGAAGCAGGCTTGAGGCAAAGCAAAGACGACATTTGCAGTATGTCAGGAACGATGGTGACTAAATAAAGTCACCAACTTATAGACCAGTTGACAGACTTCAATCCTCTCAAAGCAGTACGACTGTACACCTTTTCAGGGCGAAGCTAAACGCAGACATGGAAAGATTTAGAGCGACATGGCAGTTTTACATACACGAGCTACATTTATTACCAATTCAACCGGGACAACTAACGATTTTTTGAGTCATGTGCCTAGCAATCACCGAGTTTGTCACTGTCAGGCAAATCATCATCAACTTAATTGATTCTTTTCTGCCACGGTGAGACTGAACCGCCACCGCACACACAATGAGTGTTACAATTTACTCTTGAGCCTTCTCATCCGTGCCAATCAAGGTTAGAGGGCCAAACTTATCCGACAAATCTGCAGCCAACTCATCACCATCGTCAGTACTCTCAGCCTTTGCCTCACCTCGAACGTTCATCTCATCCCGCTCTACCAACTCATCTAAATCGTTTGCAACTCCTTCTTTAAGTTCATCCTCCGTGCTTCCAGAGCTCGTATCATCTACAATATCCATCAGGCAATACTCTTCATCAACGTTCATCGACGGGGACTAGACTTACCAGTAGGCTCAACAACAAATTCTCTATCACTCAAAGTGTATTCCTTAGGAATTGTCGTCGACTGCCTATCCCTTGCCCTCATGAAGGAATCGTGAAATTTTGGATCCCAAAGTCTGGGTCTCAACTCTTCCACTGGGACTGCATCATCCGTTGCCATCCTCTTCAAAACTCTGTTTTCATCGAAAATGTACTCAATTTCTAGCACTCGTTTCGTACAAACAGAGCATCTGCCTTGACGAACACCGTCATTCCCGAACATTTGATTGAGTTTTTTGACCTCGTTCCAGAGGTCTTCGTACTCTATTAAAAAGGGATTGTGGCTATTGTACGTAGGATTATTAAATAAAGGTTTGGATACTTTGATACAGCCTTCAACGACTGCCTTTTCTTCATCACTGAGCTCTTTAGAATTTCTAAGTTCTTCCAGAGACTGGAGTGGATCGCTTCCTTCCAAGATTGTACTGTTGAAGTGGCCATTTTTGAAAGCTGGGTAATCGACGGGATTTATGCCACAGAAAATAGTCCACTGAAGGGCATCCTTCCAAAAATAAGAGATCTCTCTAGGACTTTTGTCCGACATAACGAGAAATTCTTGCTGGAAAATAGTCAAGTGGAATAACAATTGTTTGTTGCGCGAAGATATGGGTGACAACGATTAATCGTGCCAGGGCTTGGAGACGATAACTTAAAGTCGATTCTAAAAAGATGTGTCTGGTAGTACCAGGGTGAATTTATATCAAAATGACAAGCCATAATGGCGAATCAAATATAGTGTCATGTGCAACCTTGTCATGTAGCTTTCCGTGAATCAGTTTTGCGACCTGTTTCTTTCTGCTTGTCTACATGCGTATGTGTTTTGTTTTCCTTCAGATCTGACATGAAGGCCGCATGATACGAGGAAGCTACTGACTTAAGTCATGCTGATCGAAGAGTGGTAGAAACTTATGGACCCGCAATATTCTCTCAATTTCCTCGAGTTTTTTGCTGCCATAGCAAAGTAAAGCTACCTAAATAATGATTTGTGCAATCTTTCAACCACGTCTCGTGAGGCAGAACTGCCTGAATTTCATCTCCGTTCATCCATGATTGCTGTTTTGGTTCGTTGGGTTTTAGGACGCAACTCAAATGCTAAGAATGATCAATTTCAAGATGGCCAAGAAGCATGATCTATACATTCAATCAAGTCGCTATTGTTCTCTTCGTTTCCAAATGATCCGACTGAATTATCATTCATATTTCATAGCACGTCTTCATCGGCGTACCAGGAAAAGATGGAATAAGCTCGTTATCATTATACCACGTCTCCTGAAACCTACGATTTGAATAGACACTTCCAGAAAAGGGGATGATCCCAAGCGAGAACTAGATGCAAGCCGCATTAGATTTCCCTCTGACTTGACACGGTACCACCTGCTAATGTTAGGTTGGTAATTGTAGAAGGCTATACACAAAGTTCAAACTTTAAGTTCAAAATAGACTAGCCTTTATACAATGAGACAAACATAAACCGCAAAATTCGTCAATACCGAAATTATATTTGTCAGCCTCGCATTATACTTGTACCCCAACGTCGTAGTCGGCACCCAGGGCGAAGTTATGGATTTGCACAATTAAATTCATTGTTGAAACATCTGCCGCGGTAGTCCACGAATCAGATCTCACATATGAATCCCACCAGGCTGATTCTGCATGTCATATTATCATGCAGTGGCTTATTCTGAGCTTACGCGACGAGAAATTCAGGGGGATTGCTGCTAAATCGAGGTTGCGTATGAAAATCAGTACGATGTGGTTACACGCGGCTAAGTCTTCATGGGGCCACTCCTCTAAACGAGGACGATCAGCCACCTAAGTTGCCATCCGCGATTAATTTTTGGAATGAACTCTTTCCTTCAGAAGATCTTCAATATGAAAGGAAAGAGTTAAGAAATGCCGCCGCGGAAGCAGCACAGACGCGTTAGCGCATTCCCCGCGATAGCAGAATATGGAGAAAGTACGCCGACTTCGTCAACTCCAAGTCCGTCCACAAGAGGTTTGAGGAGGACTACTTTTGTGGAGATATGGCCGAAAAACGTTCGTGAAACCCCTGATTCTCGATATTTACTAGCAGATTTTGTAGAATGGTCCCACTGAGGTAATCCGAGGAAAGATACCAGAAGATCAAATTCCCAGCTGGCTTGAACAAAAAGGTAATGTGGGTCTATTGGTGTGATTAATTCATACTCTAACGTTTTTATAGATGCCTTTGCTCATACAAATAACGAGACATCAAAAATAGGTGCTCTAAGACTGCTGTTTGTGATCTCCTCCATCACATAGCTCGTGACTCATGATTTTGACGCCCGAACTAATCAAAGGGCCATAGGTTTACAAATCGAGCAATGAATTCCGATAAGAAAGCTGTTGGAATGACGTTCAGTGATGATACACTTCAAGTGATTATGAGCCGCCCTTCAACTACCAGCAGCATTTGCACAGATGTTAGCACCGGACCAAATTGAACCTCCACGATTCTCTCATAATACTCTATTTGATACTCATGGAAATCATTTGGGTATGGGTACGTTTAAATTCACACCCTCTAACTCACTATTTGTTACTAACATGGATTCACTCTTTATTAGCATTAGCAATTCACTTTCATCGCTGGCGCCTTGAATCCATCACCCTTGGTCTTTCTTACAACCAGAATACCAAAGTAACCACGGCTCTTCTCCTCGAGAACTCCAAAGATCCAACTCACGAGTCATTTATTCACTATATCTTATTGCAATCCACATACCTAACTCATCCGCTCTTCCTTCCTCTAATTCTGGCCGAGTTAATGCTCGACACTCACCGAACGCAGTTAGATCGAACTACATCCCGCCTCCGAAACCTCGAATCCGCAATCGGAATCCACGATCACGATTACCATTCCACCTCATCCCCTTCTTACAGCACACCTGACAAATCGCCCCTCCCAGACTTCCCCTTCATCTCTCGCTCGCTAAATGGAGAATCCACCCGTCTAGCCTTTTACGAAGTAAAAGTAAGATCCAATATTCATCTCCTGCAAGCACTTCTTCGCGGCCCCTATTTCACAACCCTTCTCCCGATGAATCGACGCATGATCTGGATGGAACAAGCCACATCGCCCTCCGAGAAAAATGCGAATTCCTTCTCGGCTGGAACGTCGAACTATCTTCTCGTGTCATTGCACAGAGAAGAATCGTCAAGATTCAGATAGGTAGCGTACAGAACCTGCTCATGCAACGGGAATCGAAAATTACTACTTCGATGATGGAGGCTCGGAAAGGGGATGCAAATGCAATTAAGACGATTGCGTTTCTATTGATGGCGTTTCTACCTGGTGCGTATATTGCGGTATTGTTTAGTGGGTCGATGTTTGATTGGCAGGCGGAACGTATGGGTGGAGTTTTGAGTGAGTGGTTTTGGTTATATTGGGCGGTTACGGGACCGCTTACTGCGGTGGTATTGGGTAGTTGGATTTGGTGGTGCAAACCATGGCTATGAGTTATCTTGGACGAGGATGTTGCTGCCTTGTTTCAATATTGGTGATGCTTGGGATTGTATCATTCGGTGTTAGTTTGGGGAATTTGAGCCTTGAAAAGAAAACCATGGAAGGTTGTGTAGGCAAATGGTGCCTAAATTAGATTTTTCTTGTATGTATACTATTATTTCACGGGTTGTTATTTGGCAAGGGTCTTATTATCAGTATCAAAAGAGAGGCCTCTCATGTATTTCTATCAATAGATTTTATATCTTTGCTGCAAAGTGTGCAATTAAGTGTTTGCATCGCCAGTATCACTATCACTGCAATCTGTCACCTTAAGCAAGATCCAAACCTCAGGGACACGATGACACACTTGATCAGATGTATCGTAAGGTTAAAATTGACCTTTTGCGGAGGGCCCGCACTGAAAATATGCTTAAAACAGATCAGGGATATGTAAAGATTCAAACCATGTGTGAATAAGTTGGGATAAACCAATGATTCAGTGCTTTTCCTCAAATCGGATGCGACGAGTGTGGATTTAGTAGGGTGTATATTGTTTGCCGGGCTTTTTATCAGAAGCATAGTGTTCGACCAGATCCACAAATTTCTCTTGCCTACTCAGGTGACGGGACTACCTAGTATTCTCTTTCCTATTTCAAAGTTCCCCTTTCTGGCCTTTTTACACTCTGTTATATTTTTATATTTTTATGATTGTCTGTAGATATAGCGACTATTACCTAATTCAGAGAAAGACAACAATGTACTAGACTTCCGATTGTTCTGCACTTTAGATTATAGATCAATCTTTGTATCTATACACCTTTGCTTATATTATGTAAACTCATGGCTAATATCATGAACAGATTGAGACCTTCGTCATGGGTTAATACAACAGTACATTTCGATATTTCACATACATTTGAACATCAAAGCCTCAATATCCAATCTTTACCTGGAAGTTACTGATCTCCCTTCAGATGTAGCTGAATAGGACAAAAGCCCCAAAATGCAATTCTTCACTGAAAAATTCAATCTTGAGAAATATTGATTACCGAGGAAGAATGATTGGTAAGTATAGGCTGGTAGCTACTGACATCATTACTCACATACTTGACTAGATGTTTTAAAGCTTGAGATGATACATAGCGTGAACATCAAGTCTAATTGGACTAACTTAAGTTACCGTATTGAGAATTGAATCATTGATAACGTCTAACTTACCTACAGCTACAGCTATATGATACTGAATATGAAATAGTTACTCTCAATTTAAGGTTGTGGCACGCAAGTAGTAAACACTAGTGACACCCTGAAACTATCCACGATTCTCAGTTCTCAATTTGACATAAGGTAGTAGAGTTCAAGGGCCAACATACAACCAATGACTGAAGGAGATAATATGCAACAATGATAGTCTGACAGCCAGTGCTAAACTTCAACGGGCTACAAAGCAGCACCTTTCAAAGCCTAGAGTAAAATTGAAGTACTCTAATTTTCATCAAATGGTTCTCTACATCAAAGAGACAAGTGTGCATTCATAAAGACTCTGGATGGGCTTGAAAAACAATCCAAACCCTCCAAGGAACAATCATAAATCTACACTTGATGATTTTATGATGAATTTCAATTTGTTGAAAGTAGTGAATTTTTCTTAGTTCGGTGTTCGAACCGATTTGTTTTACCATGTGACCTCGAAATTTGGATGTATATTTTATGTACAGTCTGCTCAACCCTCGACCCTCGCACTTCCACCTCCACATTCATTTTCATCAACAATCCTAAATCAATGACAAAATGAACAACAACGCATCAGCTGTTTCATTACGCAAGAGGAAGAATTCAGATGTTAGCGAAGACATATCGCCAACTCCAAGTAAAGCAATCAAGCTTGAGAATTCCGATAATGTCGAAGAGCGCACCGATAACAATCATGCCGAAGCTACCGTGACGCCTTCAGTCAAGTCTGAACGATCAGCGGCGGACGTCGAGGAGTTCGATGTGCAATCGCACATTTCTGAACTCTACAGATTTATTATCAGTGAACGTGCACTTGGCCGTGAGTGCATGAATGACATTTTTCA